CCAGTCACATATTAGTGGTAAATACACTGACTGGGATGGTGTTAGACTATGTTGTAAACTATGAATGGAAAGTAAACAACAAGGCAAACCTTCGATTCAGCTTCTGACAAGGGAAGCAAGTCTGTATGGCAAATTGCATCTTCTTAAACCAGTGTCATTCGTCATCACTCGCCCCTTTCCGTAACCTGCGAAAATGGCCACGAGCACGAGTCGCTATTCGGCTTGTCCCGGAATAACACGAGTTGGTCACGAATGAAACCAGTGTATGACACGTACCCATGGGTTAGTTTGATTGGTTGTTTGACGACGCGTTCGCCAATAGTGTACACTTGCATACAATGACAGGTGACAATGACGATCCGGTAAGTATTGGTCTTTAACAAGATATGCTTGTCGTAAGTGGCGAAGTGGGATCGGGTGGACAGACTCGCTGACTTGGATGATACATGTCATAGTAACCCAATTGCATAGATGGATGTTCGTGATGTCAATCACTGGATTGTCTGTGGCAGTTTCGTTTATTTACATACCGTGGTCATACAGCTAGGTGCGGCTTAAAGCAACAAACAAAAAAACACTCAAACAAACAACCAATGCGAGGCAAGCAAACATATGTGTTGCACAATGCTTTGAAGGAGCTAGTATGTGCCATTGTTTGAATTGAAAAACCAGTCCACCTACTATAGAGTTGCGTGCCATGATTGTGTGACGGTGGGTTCGAATCCCAGGTTTGTCCTTATTGTCATCCTTATCTTAAAAGACTTCCGTCCAGACTAAGCTGACACGACGTGATGTTTGGGATGTTAGAATATATTTTTAAACGTTTTTCTTTACTTATAAGCAGCAGAACCGTGCATACAAAAATTCAAAGCTCTCATATCGTTTTTATTCATTTCAACAAAATCAATAGATGCACTGTCGTGTCGCTGTGGTTTCTGATCTATCGATCACATGATTGTCTGGTTTGTTTACAGGCCGCCGTCACGTGGCGGAAGAACGGGCTATAAACATTTACTTTTTCCATAAACATTGTGGGAATGGCGGGTGCTACCGGTAGGGCAGGACATGCTTACCCTTTTTGCGAGCACCTTTTTGATCTAGTTGGGACCCTAAATTCTGATCCATTTGGGACCCTAGATTTTGATCATAGTGGGATCCTAGGTTCTGATCATATTTGGGTCCTGGGTGTGATGATATAGGTTCCGAGGTTCTCATCCAGTTGGGACCACTGATTCGGATCGTATTGGGACCCTCGGTTCTGATCATACTGGGACCCTAGGTTCTGATCCGGTCTGGACCCTAGGTTCTGATCCATTTTGGACCCTAGGTTCTGATCCAGTTAGGACCCTAGGTTCTGATCCAGTTAGGACCCTAGGTTCTGATCCAGTTGGGACCCTAGGTTCTGATCCAGTTAGGACCCTAGGTTCTGATCCAGTTAGGACCCTAGGTTCTGATCCAGTTAGGACCCTAGGTTCTGATCCATTTATGACCCTAGGTTCTGAAACAGTTGGGACCCTAGGTTCTGATCCAGTTAGGACCCTAGGTTCTGATCCATTTATGACCCTAGGTTCTGATCCAGTTGGGACCCTAGGTTCTGATCCAGTTAGGACCCTAGGTTCTGATCCGGTTGGGACCCTAGGTTTTGATCCATTTGGGACCCTAGGTTCTGATCCAGTTTGGGGCCTAGGTTCTGATCATATTGAGACCCTGGGTTCTGACCCCGTGGGAGCCCAAAGTTCTGATGACAAATACACTGAACATTTAAATAAATTAATATTTCCTATACAAACGTGAACATGTTAGTGTTGCTCTCAGCATAACACATGGTAACACATTCTCGTGTTCTTGTTTCAGGTTAACACTTGACTTGCCATTGCATGTGTTTGTGACGGGTGCCACCGGTAGGGCAGGATACGCTCAGCTTTTCGTCGGAATCGTACAATCGACTTTCTAATGAATATGGAAAGGATAAGGTATTGTCGCTTTTATTTATCGCCTAGATATTGAAACCTACCCAGAAACACAAATATACCTATTTGCTGTTACTCCACATTAGATGTAGATGCCATAGTGCTCAGAAACAACATAATTTATGAAATATCCTCAGTATTATAGCTTGTCTTTGAAAGGCATTTGGAAGTGAAACACGTAAGGAAGAGAATTTATGGATGTCAACTTCTTTATTATGAGGAACACAACGTTTCGGAGTACACATTTTCTCCTTCATCAGATGAATTATAACTTGCTTTATAACTTTGCATTCGGACCTCCTAGGTTATATTCGTATTCGAGATGCAGATATGCTTGTCTGAATAATTCGCTCACTCGTACCGCAACTGTTGAAGCCTCGCCGCTGATTTCCTTATTAGAAAATTCACTTGACGCGCGCGATATGGAATTGTACTCATGCAGATATTAACAAAAGTAGGTGTCGTAGTGGATTTAAAGACTTGGCCTTAATGAGACTGGATGATTGTTGATGTAAATATTTATTGCAATTTTTGCGCTAACTGATGAAATTTCTGTGTACAATGCAACATCAATGTGTGAGGAAAAGAATTTATGGATGTCAACTTCTTTATTATGAGGACCACAATGTTTAGGAGTATACGCTTACTCCTTCACCGGGTGATAAATGCTATGAGGCAGAGTGCATATATTATGTACCTGTAAGAACAACAAAAGTGACAAGATAACAAAGGTGGAAACTTAACAAGGGAAGCCAACAGTTACATGGCGCTGATAGGTGATTAGCAATGGGCAAATGGAAGCCAACACTTAACAGTAAATTAGCTCGGATAATTAATAGCGATGGACAACTGTCCTTTTTACGCTAGTTCCACATTGAAAAGGCAAAATAATTACAGATAGTCATTTATGGAGTTCATATCACGTCTTGCCGTTTGTTATTCTCTCGGAAATGGTTCGTTGTAAACTGTAAATTGCTAATTTAACTCGTCAATCGACTATTCGTTTCGCAAAGCGCCATTTCTGTTACTTGACCAGAGTGTATTCTTTCGCTTCCAACAGCGGTCTCGTAGCTTTCCAAAATTATTTTTGTTAAAGTTGACTTTGTATATAATCATATCCAAATGCATGATAAAGAATTTTCGTGTGACCCTAAATACTTTTTTAAGATTTTGCAAGCACGAAACCCCCCATAAGTCGCAAATACGTATAAACATAAAGTAAATATATTTTGAAAACAGTAAAGTGAATAAATGAGTGAGTATGGTATTACACCGCTTTTAGCAATATAAACCTGTAATATCACGGCGGGGGGAAGCATAAAAACGGTTTCACACATTGTACCCATGTGGGGAAGCGAACTCGGGTCTTCAGCATGCCCACGATAACAATAAAGCGACCTGACACACAACAGAACTGATTAAACAAATGACGGTGTAGCATTTGAAAACATGTATCACAGAAACACCCCAATAAACTCTGGACAACATGGGTCAACATTGATGAACAATTATGCACCTCAATTTTAGAAATTTATAAAGGACAGAGAATAACCAGTCTCGATTATCTGCCTGAACAGATCCACTGAGCGTAAAGTCAAAATAATGATGAAACACAGATGAATGGATTACAGACAATCAGTGATCACACCAGGTGTCCACGAAAAGGTAAATGTCCTGCTCTACCGGTAGCACCCGCACCCACAATTTACATAAAAAAGTATTTGCTTGTTTGTTCGCCACACCAAGCAATACTCCTACCTTAGTACGGAAGCCTGTGGACATTCGAGACAAACTATCCAGTGATAGAATCTGGAGAAGGACAATTCTGTGAACCGATAGCGCGTTTACTGATTGTGTTGAGGAAATTAGACAGAGAAATCTCTCTGTTACAGTTTGAAAATCCTGCGCCGTTGATTTGTACTGTTCACATGCGATAAAGAACGTGTGTATAAACACATAAATCAAAACAGATTCTGTTAATTACACTTTGGCTTCCTCTATACATATGTTGATGATATACTGTAAATCTTGAAATTAATGCGTCTCCAAATTAATGCGTCTGCTGACCCATAGCCAAAAATGCGCCCAAACATCAATGCGACTCCCATGCGTATGCATATGAAATCAGTATGCTCAATCAGCTGGTTAAATGGGCACATGCCCATACCTCTTGTTTCCATACCTAGAATTAGTTAACACATCCAAATTTTATGGGTTTTCCTTATCACACTTGTTGGTAACACATAGACTGTTAACATAACTGAAAGTCAGAGGATCATTGAAGAGTGTTATTGTACTGTATCGTTTAGTCCATTGTTTCGCATTTTCATTCACTGGTTCGATTGTTTGGTACACGAAACACGTCTCTTCTTTGACTCTTCGTCTTCATGAAGAATGAATGTTTACGCTGACGTGGCTGTCAGCCCCACTGTCATTACTTTCAACATCGATGAAATACTTCCTCGGCGAACGTGCAGAAGACAGAGGCACACATTTAACTCTACCATTGTGCTGGTCTGTTGTCCTGCCAAGTGAAGGTGCCAT